AGGGCGTGGGAGTCCTGACTGCACCCCGCACGAGAGGACCACAGAGGAGCTCATCGCTTTTGGTGGGATTACGGATCTGGTGACGGCTGGCAGGCATGTCAGCAACCGGATCCAGGGACAGCCGGATGCGGATGACTTTCAGCTAGCGCGGGCCAAGAGGGCTGCCATGCTTCGTCATGCCGAGACTACTGCAGGTACGTCATTTGATATAAGTTGTTCAATTTTACACTTCTCTGAGAAAGAGTTAGTTGATAAGGCAAATGACTTAGGCATTTCTTTGGGATCAAATAAAACCGAGGTCGTCAAATCCGTTAATGATCTTTTAGACATGGAAGCGGAGAGAGCTTCCGAGATCATTCGTAATCTTGCCTCTATCCAACCTATGAATGACAATGACATGAATAATTTAGGTATTAATGATCTTGCCAATATCTGTAATAATCTCTTGCCTAGTGTCGAGACTGAAGATGAGGAGGAAGTTGAGAACACAGATACAGTAGAGCCTTTCTTGATGGAGGAGGCAGTGTCTGTTATGGATAATAATATCGTTCCAGAGGGTGTTGGGGAGAAGCCCAAATGACCCTGGAAGCGGAAAATTTATCCCTCTTCGGCGGTACGCAGAAGTCTTAGAGTTAAACTTAAGAAAAAATTCCATGATGACTTATGAAAGGACTCTTTTGGAATAGCCGAGGTCTAGCAGACTTGGCTAAACAAAGATTCTTAGCAGAGACAACATTAGAACATCACTTAGATTTCGTTGCACTTTTGGAAACTGGACGAGATAATTTCACATCCCAATTCCTTCGAACCCTTTCCAGTGGTATCGACTTTGATTGGCACATTTTACCACCTAGAGGAAGATCCGGCGGGATTTTACTAGGAGTACGGTGTGAAACGCTAGAGGTGCTTAATGTGGTGCAGGGAGATTTTTCAGTTAAATTCAGGGCGAGATCGAAATTGGATGGGTTCCGATAGTCGCTAGTTGCGGTATACGGGGCAGCACAACCTGAATTTAAACATGATTTTCTTGCCGATTTAGTGTGGATTTGTGGAGATGAAAATCTGCCACTACTAGTCGGGGGGGGGGGATTTTAACATAATCCGGAGAAGAGAAGAAAAGAATAATGACAATTTCGATGGCCGGTGGTCTATGATGTTTAACATGATTATCGAGAGCCTCAATTTGAGAGAAATTGAGCTCACCGATAGACAGTTCACATGGGCCAACTCGTTACCTGTTCCGACTTATGAAAAGCTGGACAGGGTACTTGCTAGTGTGGAGTGGGAACAAAAATATCCGTTGGTGATGGTTCATGCGATGCAAAAAGCGATCTCGGATCATACACCACTCTTTCTAGATTCGGGAGAGGCTACCCATGTTGCAAACAAAAATACCTTCTCTTTCGAGCAAAGCTGGTTTGAGCGAGAAGGATTTATGGAGATGATTGCACGTGAATGGGCCAGGCCGGTTACAGGAAGGACACATATTGAGAGATGGCAAAACAAGATTAGACATCTCCGACAATTTCTGAGAGGATGGGCCAGGAATGAGAGTGGGATTTATAAGCAGAAAAAAGAAAGTCTAACACAACTAATTGAGGCACTCGATGTAAAGGCTGAAACCACTCTTCTTTCAGTTAATGAACATCGAACCAAGTCCGAGGCTGAGCAAGCCCTACGTGCTCTCCTGAGAGAGGAGGAGCTCAAGTGGGCGTTGCGTGCGAAAACGCTTAAGGTTGTCCAAGGGGACGACAACACACAGTTCTTCCATATGGTTGCAAATGGTAAACACAGGAAGAAGAAAATCATACAGCTTGAACAGGACGAGGGAACAATAGTGGGGCATGAAAATTTGAAAACGTGTATCTCCAACTATTATAAAAGTCTGTTCGGACCTCCTAATACTTCCACGGGGTCTCTTGATGAGTCTGTGATTGATGATATACCTCAATTACAGGCAGCGGAGAACGATGTTCTCTCTGCACCGTTTACTGAAAAAGAAGTTCATTTGGCCATAACTCAAATGAAGCCGAATAAAGCACCGGGACCAGATGAGTTTCCAGCTGAATTCTATAAGAAATGTTGGCATATCATTAAAGATGATCTTATGCCTATGTTTCATGATTTTTTCGATGGCCATTTAGAGTTGTTTCACCTAAATTTTGGTACGATAACGTTATTACCAAAGAAGAATGAGGCGGTCCGGATAGAACAATTTCGACCCATTTGCCTGCTGAATGTGAGTTTTAAAATCTTCACAAAGGTTGGAACCAATAAATTGACACAAATTGCTCATTCAGTGGTTCAACCTAGTCAGACAGCTTTCATGTCGGGACGACACATACTCGAAGGAGTAGTTGTCTTACATGAAACTCTTCATGAGATTCACTCGAAGAAACTAGATGGGGTTATCTTAAAAGTGGATTTCGAGAAGGCTTATGATAAAGTAAAATGGCCTTTTCTTCAGCAAGCAATGCGCATGAAGGGTTTTAGTGAAACCTGGAGGCACCAGGTGGATACTCAAGTCTAGAAGGGTAGTGTCAGAATTAAGGTGAACGATAACATTGGTCACTATTTCTAGACGCATAAGGGGCTGAGACAAGGGGATTCCATGTCACCACTGCTGTTCAATATTGTGGCAGATATGTTGGCCGTCATTATTGGCAGGGCCAAACAACATGGTCAGGTAGAGGGTCTAGTTCCTCATCTAGTTGATGGAGGAGTGTCCATTCTACAATATGTTGATGCCACTATTCTTTTCATGGAACATGACATGGCTAAGGCACGTAATATGAAACTCATCCTCTGTCTATTCGAACAATTATCTAGCTTAAAGATCAATTTCCATAAGAGCGAGGTGTTCTATTTTGGGAAGGCCAAAGACGAGGAACATACTTACACACAATTGTTTGGATGCGAATTAGGTGCTTTACCATTCAGTTACTTGGGTGTTCCGATTCATCACCGTAAATTATCTAACAAAGAATGGAAATGTATTGAAGAACGAATTGAAAAAAACTCAGCTGCTGGAAGGGCAAGTTGATGTCATATGGGGGTCGATTAGTTCTGATCAACTCAGTACTAACTAGTATGCCCATGTTTTTACTTTCGTTCTTCGAAATTCCGAAAAGGGTCCGAAAGCGACTTGATTTCTTTAGATCTCGATTCTTTTGGCAGTCTGATGAGGCCAAGAGGAAATACCGTCTCGCGCGATGGGATATCCTTTGTCGACCTAAAGACCAAGGGGGTCTCGGTATTGAGAACTTGGAAACTAAGAATAAATGTCTACTGAGCAAATGGTTGTACAGGTTAGGGACAGAGCCGGAGGACATGTGGTCTCAAATCCTGCGCAATAAGTATTTGCACTCGAAAACGCTAGCCCAGGCTACCATCCGACCAACTGATTCACCGTTTTGGAAGGGACTTATGAGAACGAAGGATCTGTTCTTTCGTAGGGTCAAATTCTCGGTTGGCAACGGGATGTCAACTCGATTCTGGGAGGATACATGGTTAGGAGAGACACCTTTGGCCTTACAATATCCTACCCTTTACAATATTGTGCAACGTAAGGAAGATTACGTAGGTATCGTCCTTCAAACTATTCCCTTGAATATCCAGTTCAGACGTGCGTTAGTGGGTGCGAGATGGACAGCCTGGATGCACTTGGTTCGGAGATTGATTGAAGTTCGACTCTCCCACGTGCCGGACTCTACACAATGGAAGTTAACTAAAAATGGGATATTTACGGTGAAATCCTTTTATACGGATTTGATTAATTCTGATCCCCTCTCAAGGTCACTTCATATATGTAAGATAAAGTTCCTTTGCGGATTAAGATTTTCATGTGGTTTGTCCACAAGCAAGTAATACTCACAAAGGACAACTTACTTAAGAGGCGATGGGTAGGCAACTCGCGGTGTTGTTTTTGTGCTCAAGATGAGACAATACAACATTTATTTATTGAATGCCCACTTGCCAAGTTACTTTGGAGAACGATTCATATAGCTTTTAATATTAATCCCCCAGTAGATATTGCGTCTTTGTTTGGAACGTGGTTAGCTGGGGTTGAACAGATCACGGCGGCTCGTATTCGGATTGGAATATGTGCGTTACTATGGGCTATATGGAACTGCAGAAATGATATGATTTTTAACAAACAACACAACTTAACTTTTTTGCAGGTTATCTTCAGAGCTACAGCTTGGATCCGTACGTGGTCCTTACTCACTCCTATGGACTCCAGGGAGCCTTTGGTTACTGGGTGCAACCAATGGGAGATGGTAGCTCGGGCTATATTCAACCGGTTCGGATGGCGGTCGCATAACAGGATAGATGGCTAGAGAGCTTGTCCTTATTATCACCGTATCGGTTGTTTTATTTTTTTTAGGCCTTTTATTTTTTTCAGATCTTTATGCTATGACTTTGCTCCGTTTGCGAGCTGTAAGACCTTTTTGATGATACTTTTTAAATTTTTAATAAAAGGGCCGCATGCATCATCATGATGCATAGGCCGGGGATATACCTCCATTTCCAGAAATGAACTCGATGGACCCGAAGTCGGCCAGGTGCGAACTTGCCCGGTCCGACTCGGAGTGGCGCTCGCTGCGTTATATACAAATACAAGCAACAGCTAGTGCGAGACGCAAGAAGCAGCATACACCATGGGAGCAGCCCTGTCGTCCTACGCCACAGTCGTCGACGCCGCCAGCTGCATGACCAAGAGCTACGAGCAACAGCGGAGATTCAACGCTCCAGATGCCGTCATCGACATGCCGGGCAGCGTCTTGCTCGCCATCGTGGCGCTCGCTGTCGTATCTGCATGCATGGCGTTCGCTCTCGCCCGACACAACCAGCCATCCATGCGAGCAGCCTTGCCGCCGTCGTCCTACGCGCCCGTCGTCCACGCAGCAAGCCGGGCCACCGATAACGACGCGCAGCAGCGGAGGCCCGCCGACGACGACCACTGGTCCGGCCTGCCGGACGACCTCCTGTTCACCATCATGTCGTCGCTGGACATACCCAGCCTCCGGCGAGCCGGTGCCGTCTGCAGGTCCTGGCGCGCGGCGCACAACGCCTTCTGCCTCCCCGCGCTGGAGCGAGCGCCGTGCCTGTTCTACGCCTGCGAGGAGTACGGGCCCAACGACGCCGCACTCTACTGCCCCGCCACCGGCGCCACCTTCCGGGTCCCCTTCCCGGGGCCCCCGCATGAGAGGCGGGGCTTCACCTTCGCGTGCCACGGCGGCTGGCTGTTTACCACCGACGAGGCCGGCGACCCTTACCTCCTCAACCCCGTCACCGGCGCCCAGGCCACGCTCCCTCCGGTCAAAACTATCTACCAGAACGACGAATTCTATGACGACGGTGGCAAGCATGTCTGGTCTGCTGACCCCGAGAACGGGATCATGAAACCCAGCATCAGCTGGGCGCGACACCTGGTGTTCCTTCGGGTTGCCATCTCTACGACCGCCGATGTGACGGAATGCACCGTCCTCATCGTGCATAATCCGAAGTGGAGACTCTCTTTTGCCAGGCCGGGAGACGACCGGTGGACACTGGTCTCCCAGGATGGAGGCTACATTGACAACGTTCTTTACAATGACAAGGATGGCTTGTTCTACATTTTGTATGCGAATGGCTCTATTGGTACTTTAAATCTTTGTGAGCCTTCACCATCAGTAACCATGATCATGCGCAGCGTGTTACCCTCGTTAGGATATCATACCATGTATCCTGTCATCGGTCCATCGGGTGAACTCCTGCAGGTCTGGAGGGACTGGAGTCACATAGATACTCTACTCAAGTATCGTGGCACTTACCAAGATATCGTGAACAAAATGCACAAAGATTGTGTGGACCTCGCCCACAAAGATGACGACGACAATAAGCTACAAGATGAGCTAGAGACAGAAGATAGCGACGAAGAAGGCGAACTATGTGAAGCCGATGCCAATGACCAAGAGATTGATGCGTCGCAACTGCTTCGTGAAGGCATTGACCTGCCTCATCGGCTTGTTGAAGAGGTCACCACGAATGAGCTCCTAGTCTTTAAGGTTGACGTCGATAGACAAAAGCTGGTGGAACTAAGGGACATTGGAGACCATGCGTTGTTCGTTGGGCTTAACTCTGTCGTGTGCCTTCCGACCAAGGACTTTCCAGCTTTCGAGCCAAACTGCATCTATCTAACGGACGACTGTTCTTACTACAGTCCAATGTTACGGAAAGATCATGGTATCTGGGATATCAAGAATAGGAGTATGCGGAAACTTAGCGATGCGTGGCCAAACTTGTATCCATGGCTACATTTACCGGCTCCAATTTGGATCACGCCAAGGTTTTAGATACTGGATTAGGAGGCAATACTACAGGGATGTTTTGCTTACTAGGCAAAAAAAGAAAAGGTGGTATGCAAAAGTTGACCCCTAATTTGTCAAGAACTTTTCTTTAAATTTATCTAAATCTGGATTTTGTAGCACCCTTCCCTTGGCATGGTTCTGTTCTAGAGTACACAGTGTTAAAGATAATCAAATTACTTAAACTAGCTCTACGTGGTATCGTGCAATTAGCGCTAGGTGTACAATAGTTAGTTTGCATGCTGAGTCCGGCTAGGACTAGTACTTGACCGTAAGCGTAACTAAGGGCTAACTAGTACTAGTCCGGTTACATAGAAGTTTCGATTCTATACGCTGGGTGAGTCATCATATACGAGTAGGTATAGTTAATCTCCTGGGTGGCAACGGGAGAAAATGTTGGTTCCCATGAACCACGGTTGAGTGGGTCGAGAATTGTGTCACGGACACAATCAACATAATATTTAGGAATAGTTTAGCGTACCATGGGAAGTAAGTTTACGAATAAGTTTAGGTTCAGACATTTCATCAAGCGTCTTGAAGAAATCTAGCAAGTGTGAGTACCTAACCTATATGATCTCCTTCAAGGTATGGAATGCCAATAGTTTCACATGTTCCAAGGCAACGCTTGCAATATGTGTTGTCACCAACTCATATACAATTTAACATGCAAACTATCACATCTTTATATATTCACCGTGTCGATGTCACCAACTTCACATTCGTGCATACATGACCAACCAACAAATTATGCTTCTGATCGCATGTGTCTCTGGAACCGAGAGTTGGCATATTGACAGAAAAGGTATGATAGATAATCACGGACACACTACTTGAGAAGAGAACAACAGTCGATGATGCCCATAAGCATCATCGTCATCACTCATCCCGGATGACCAACAATAGAGTGAAGACAACACCACTGTTCCATGAATAAAATATCACTGCATCGCTTGTAAGCATATCCATTTCAAAGAAATAACGGATTAAGACTGCATAATTCAAGTGTCCAACCAATGATTATTAGTAAAAAATTACAAAAACACATTTTCTAGTATTAGGTATATACAACACTAAGGGTAAAAATAGCATGCTAAAGAATAGACAATCTAAAACTTAGTTCGGCTAGAAAAAAAAACTGAATCAAGTGTTTCTAAAGACATAACCTAAGAGAGTGACGTGAAAACTAAATTATCATGAAAAGCCAATCTCTTTGGAGGCATACTCTGACCTCACCACCGTATTGCAATACCTAGTAGGAGAATAGTCAGAATACAAGAGAAAACACAGCAACAAAAATCGGTGTAAAAATAGTATGCTATGATATACCTTGTGGTTTTGCTTATGAAGTTCTGATATAAGCTCACCATATCTTTAGAATCAGGAAAAAAGAGAAAAAAAGAGAGAAACGATACTAAAATCTTTCTAAACTTATTAGATATAAGGTCAGGTAACAATAATCCAAAGTGATAACCATACAGAAATCTAAGAATGCTGCAAAATCTGAAGTTTTACTTGTTGGGGAACGCAGTAATTTCAAAAAAATTCCTACGCACACGCAAGATCATGGTGATGCATAGCAACGAGAGAGGAAGAGTGTTGTCCATGTACCCTCGTCGAGTGTAAGCGGAAGCGTTATGACAGGAATTATTAACTGCAGAGTTCAAGCAATCACGGAGTTCAAGCAATCACGGAGTTCAAGCAACGTCCAAAACATTGTTTATGTGGTTTGTGTTCAGTTAGTTTCCTATGTTAGTGATGCTCATGTTCCTCTGTATTGGGTGCCGTCTAGTGTGGTGGTGGTGTTTTGGGTTAGGAGCTATGGGGTGCTGTTGTTTATCTTTGCCCATGAGGGCGATTTGTAGATGTACAAGTTCAAAGATGGAGTACCGGTTGTTTCTTTTATGGATTGCTCCGTCTTGAATTGGAATGTGAGGGGATTAAGTAACCCTGCCAAGAGGAGAGTGGTATAGATTTTTGTGGCTGAACTCAAATGCAACATTGTGTGTCTACAAGAGATGAAGATCAGCGAGTTGACTCCTGGCCTAGTTGCAGAAACATTGGGAGCAAGATTTGATGTCAACTTTATCTCCCAGCTGGTTGTGGGTGCAAGTGGAGGGGTTCTTATCGCTTGCACTGATGAATTTTAGATAGATGTTGTTCCGGTTGCTGCTGGAGAGTTCTCTATTTTAGGGACTGTCAAGTGCAGAGCTGATGGGGTTTGCTAGTCGATCAAGCCTCAGATGGATGCCGACAAGGTCCATTTCATTGATGATATGAGGACAATCAAGCAGCACGTACATGCTCCCATGATGGATGATGCTTGGGGGTTTCAATATGATTGCAAGAGCAAGTGACAAGAGCAACAACAACCTAAATCTCTAGATGCGGGTCGGTTGAGGGCAGCCATTTAGGATTTAGAGATGATCGATTTCCCGCTTCTGGGAAGGTGCTTCACTTGGTCTAGCGAAAGGGAGAATGTCACTCTCATGAAGATTGATGGGGTGCTGGTAACCTATGATTGGGAGGCGGTGTTCCCACCTTATCAATTATCCGCTTGTGCTAAGAAAGATGGAGCTCTCCCAACACAAACATTTTTTGTTTCGAGAACCATTGGCTCGCCTGCCCAAATTTTTATACAGTGATTGCTCAGGCTTGGGCTAAGGAGGTCAAATCATGGGACCCCATCAGGGTCTTGCACACCAAGCTAGCAAGGACAGCAAGGGCACTGAATATGTTGAACAAGAACAAGATGAAATGGACTGTTTTCATGTCAGGGGTGACCTCTCTTGGATGAGAAGCGGCGCTTGCGCGGTCTACTCAAAGCCAAATTACTAGGGTTTGGGGTGGTTGATAGAGTGAGGTGGAGACAGAAATCTTGGCTTACGGAGATAAGAGAGGGACATGCAAGCACACGCTTTTTCCACCTAAAGGCATGTAGGCGCCGTAAGAACCACATCCCGCTACTCAATGGGAGGGATGGGCCAATCTCTGACCACGCTGGGAAGGCTGGTATTCTGCATGATCATTTCAAGGGGTTGATGGGCACACCTTTTGTGAGAACTGCTACGCTGAATTGGGATGCTTTCATATTGCCACGAAGGCAGCTGGATCACCTCGATAGGGCTTCCATCGAGCAGGCGCTGCTTGGGGTTGTCATGGAGTCCCATGGAGAAAAAGGCACCGGGACTAGATGGTTTTAAGGGGGCCTTTTTCAAGCGATGTTGGCTGACCATCAGGACGGATTTCCTGGCTCCTGTCAATTGTGTGGACAACCTTTGTGGGTGAAACTGGGGGCTGCTCAATACGACAAATGTGGTGCTGATACCTAAGAGGGATGGGGGCCAGGATGCCAGTGATTTTAGGCCAGTGAGTCTTATGAATAGTATTCCAAAGTTGGTTAGCAAGATGCTTGCATCGAGGCTAGTACCAGAAGTTCATCTACTCCAATCAGAGTGCTTTCATCTACGGCTGGTCTATTCAAGACAATTTCTGTATGTTAAAAATGTGATCAAATCCGTGCACACTGCAAAATTCCCTCTGGTGTTCTTAAATCTTGACATGGCCAAGGCTTTTGAGTCAGTTTGTTGGGGCTACTTGTTGTAGGTCATGGAGACTATGGGGTTTTGGCAGAGATGATGTCACATGATCTCATTGATTCTGGCCTCCTCCTCTTCCAGAATGATATTGAATGGAGTGCTAGGATCCCCATTCAACATGGGAGGGGGGCTCAGACAGGGTGATCCTTTGTCCCCGTTGTTGTTCATCAATGCCATGGAACCTTTGTAGACATTGTTGTTGGTGGCTACAGCGAGAAATATTTTGGGGCCTCTTGGGACAAGTATTGCCTGCTTTCGGTCGAGCTTTTATGCTGATGATGATGCATTCTTCATCAACCTAGTGCGGGAGGACCTTGTTGCGCTGCATGCCGTTCTAGAGCTGTCTGGGAAGGCTTCGGGGTTAGAAACAAACATGGCAAAGATAGTGGCATACCCTATTTCATGCTCAGAGTTGAAATTGCAACCTATATTGGCAAAGTTTGGTATTCTGCAAGGGAACCTTCCATGTCGGTACTAGGAGCTACCTTTATAGGGGTCAGAAAGCCAAAGAGAACTGAAGCCTAGCCCTTGATCGATAAAATTGCTAGCAAGTTGTTGCAAAGAAAAGGCAGGCTCCTTAATAGGATGGGAAGGCTGGTTTATGTCAACTCGGTGGTCATGGCAACAACAACATACTTCTTAACAGCCTTTCCACTGAACAAGTGGCTAATCAAAAAAGTGGACAAGCTGCGGATCAACTTTCTTTGGGAGGCCAAAGATGGGAACATCGGAGGGAAAAGCCTAATAAATTGGAGCCAGATTTGCTCGCTGAAAAAATATGGCAGTTTGGGAGTCAAAAACATTGAGTGCTTCAACCGAGCTATGCGTATGCGATGGGAATGGTTCAGGTGGGATGAGGCGGACAAACCATGGAAGGGTACAATGACGCCTTGCGATGAGGCAGACAAGCAACTTTTTCAAGCTGCACTAAGATTCAATTGGGGGATGGTGGTGTGGTTGTGTTCCGG